AAGCTTAAACCTTGACATGATCATGCATGCTACAAATGTTGAAAGTACATGGATATTCAGTGCACTAATGGTTGATTTTATTTGTATTAATATTCAATGTTTAATGGCCTCTCAGTGTGGTAGTGGATTACTTAATAAATGTTTAGTTAATATTTACATCTGTTAATTTTACTATTAGGTATAGAATGTTATGTGTATTACAAGGCAAGCAAGTGATTTCATATCTGGATGATGTCTTTGGTGTGAGGAGGATGACTTATATATCTAGCAAGGTATACGTCGTGGTGTTAGGGTAGTTTTTGTATCTAAGAAGATGTGGGCCTTGGTGAGTATGATAGTTCTCATATCTAGCCTTGGTGAGTATGATGGTTCTCATATCTAGCCTTGGTGAGTATGATGGTTCTCATATCTAGCCTTGGTGAGTTATGATGGTTCTCATATCTAGCCTTGGTGAGTATGATAGTTCTCATATCTAGCCTTGGTGAGTATGATGGTTCTCATATCTAGCCTTGGTGAGTATGATGGTTCTCATATCTAGCCTTGGTGAGTATGATGGTTCTCATATCTAGCCTTGGTGAGTATGATGGTTCTCATATCTAGCCTTGGTGAGTATGATGGTTCTCATATCTAGCCTTGGTGAGTATGATGGTTCTCATATCTAGCAAGATGTGGGCCTTCGGGAGAGGAATATAGATTTAAAAGATTTCCGCAGAGAGGGTACAAGACAGTCGTGTTGGCACTTCCTGTCATCAGCCAGAGCACCGCAAGTGGCGCTGGGCCTCACACTTGCCATATTTAAGACGTAAAGTTTTTTTTTTTGAATGGGTTCTTTAATTATGAATATGTGGAAGCAATACATACTTATGATTCTTTCTTAGGTTTTTTCTACCCCTCTCATTCTTTAAGAGACCATACTTTTTAATTTTTTAATCACCTGTGAACTAAATCTACGTATATTTATGAGGAAGCGCTGATTTCCGTAGGAGTCATACACCGCTTGGGGAATGGAAGCTAATCAGGTTTTGTTAAGAAAGAACAGGGGTAGCTCCAATTTCTTTGATCAACTGCCCTTCTCGGCATAAAGGCATCCTCCTTGGAGGGACAGATTTACGCAACTTTTAAGTTGTGCGAAGCTGAGCATTTCCAACAGGCGAGTATATAATCAGCAGAGTTGATACATTGTGTCGTGACATTTTCATCAGTACCTAATCTGCTTTGACGTTCAGAAGCCTCATAGTGCAACCTATTCTGCTTGGGACCTCTGTTTCAGTCACTTGCATTAAATTCCTACACAGAATAAGGTCACTAGGCGGCTAATTATATATATTTACAAATAATTTACAATGGAAACAACGATATATAGTTTATTGAGAACATAAATTACAGCTATGTAAATTACAACTATGATATACACATTTATGCAGCATATGTACACAGGGTCGTACAGAAAGCCATACAACACACAAGCAGTTACAGAACATCGCGTTATGAAGGAGCTATATAATAAAGAAGTGGCGTGTGAAGACACACACATGGTGCAGATCAGGCTTTTGTTGGGACAGCGTAGAGCTCTGTGCGGTGCTTTATCAAGACCTTGATGAAGCTCTACACAGAGCGAGACCATATCTTGTCAATGTTGTATACAGAGCGAAATGGCAGGATAAAGCTCTACACAGAGCGAAACGTTCTCCCAATAAAAGCTAGCCCTACAACTAGTCTTAATCTCCACACCTGCGGACAATACGCCCTTTTATCCAGACCAGGTCTTACAATACCTGCTGGAACATTGTGTAGGATTGTGACACCGAGCCTCGCGTCCTAGGAAAAATGTTGCATAGGTAAACATATGTGTACTGCAGTGTGAAATGAAGGGAAGGTCTTACAAGATGACGTGTCATTCACAGAACGGAGTGGGATTCGAACCCTTGGCAAGCCAGTCCTCAAAACTAGCATGCCAGTCCGCTATCCACTATAATAGTTGTAAGACTAGCTTACCAAGGGTTTGAATTCCGCCCTGTTCTATGTGTTGATTGTAATCGTGTCATTACGATTTCGCAAATCATGATGTATTATTATTAGATTCATGAGGGGGATCATTCTTTCCCTCGCGAATGAGAGGTAATCAGGTCTGATCCGAGTAAGGGAAGGGAAGCCTCAGTCCCCTGGATCAAAAAGTCTTCACTACCATCAAGGCAACCCTCTCCCCTTTCATTCCCAATGAAGGGACTAGAAGGAAACAGACACACTTGTAATGTAATGAAGTTCTTTACTGACAACGTCTCGCTCACACAGTGCTTATTCAACTTCTGTGACTGACAAAAACAGTATGTGGGCGAACCATTGTCACTAAAAGATCTCTACACTGATTTGTATCTGTTTCAATCGTGTTGATATTTTCAACCATTTCTCTCCATCGAAAGGACTAGGTGATGTAAATATGACAAAAGGGACTGGGATTAACATTACTGTGTTTTTATGTGAAGAACTAAATCATTACAAGGAGTGGTGGAGGCTTGATTCTCCGTCCGCTCGAGGGGTCGGGGAGTTACAGTGGAAGCGTTAACGGCAATGCTTGAAGAGAAAGTGTTAAAGTTGGTATTATTAATCAGTGTAACGCATAATAAATGCCGTGGAGAACTGGCAACGTTTTTATTTCTTGGTGATTTTAGGGAAGATGTGAGGGTGGGTAACGTGAATTTTGCATTAGATGAGATGAGACGGTGTGGGAAATGTAGCTGGACATGTGTGGGTTAGGGGATAACAGCTAGACAGGTGTGGGATGGTTGTAGGGTGGTTGGTGTTGGGACCACAGCAAGACTGGTGTGAGGCGAGGACTACAACCCGACAGGTGTGAGGGCCACAGCAGCACAGGTGTATTGCCAGTACCAGACAAGCGCAACTTGGATGATGCGCACGTAGTAAATGCATTTTTATGGACTATGGCACGCAGTTTTATACGTCGAGAACTGGTAGTTGTATCACACTAACTGTTAACTGGCCATATTGCACTCCACTCGCATCCACAGTCACACAACATTGATAAACACGCACAATCACCCAATCGTGCGTCCTTCATAATGTACAGAGTATCACCATCCTCCACATCTTCGTTGAGATTATAACATTTCTGTGCCATGGAAGCCACAGGCCACCCTGGCTATCACAAGCCTTGACCCCAGATGAACCTCCTGAGTCCCTCTACATTCTCTGGGGTCGTCCTTTCTCTCTCCTCTATCTCCCACTTTCTCTCGTCTTATGCGCTGACCTTGTCTATAGAACGAACTTCAATCGTCTAGGGCCTTGAAATCGTCTATAAATTACCGCCAGTCATCAAAGGTCTTAAAGTCATTCATTAACGAGGCACACGTGTTTACGTCTAAAGCTTCGTTATTTAGGGTTCTAAGGTCTTCAAGCCACTCACAAAAGCTCTCACAGAAGATTTTCACATTTCCCTTCATTTCATATCACTGAAAATGTGTTAAGCATCTTAAGTTCCTCGTGAGCTTAACAGTAAGGATGTCCCTAATTAAGCACTCCTCGACGTTATATAGAAAACTCTGTGGCTAATAGTTTTATTTTTCTATTCTCACAGATATCTGAAAGCGCACACCACTCTAGCGGTCATTTGCATAAACACTATACATATTCAATTAGGTGGGAGTATCCTTGTCGCTTAGAATTTAGCTTTGGCCATATCAACGACCATCATAGTTAGGGTGCTTTGTTCATCTGTTACGTCACAGTGGATGGGACCGTCTCACAGCACAACATTGAACAGTCTGATCGTCAATCCCAGCCCTGGGCACCAGCCTCAACCCAGGGCGCCAGCCCTAACCCTGGGCGTCAGCCCAAACCTTGGGCATCAGCCCCAGCTCTGAGCACCAGTCCTAGTCCTGGGCACAAGCCCGAGCCCTGGGCACCAGCCCATAAGTAGCATGTACACCAACTCTCTCCCTGGGCATCAGCTCTTTCCCCTAGTATTACACGCTTCTCTAGTTTTCTAAGCGTTTCTCAAACACTTATTTAACTACACGTGGTGTTTTGAGAAGAGATCCCTCGTCACTAGAATTGGACGAGGTGTGCAGGTAGGAGCCATGAGGCAGGTACCAGTGTTACTGCTTCACTAGTAGTAGACGAGGTGTGCAAGTAGGATCCAGGAGGACAGGGTGTAAAGGAGAAGCAGGTTCCAAAGCTACCGCTTCACTAGGAGTAGACGAGGTGCGCAGGTAGGAGCCAGGAGGCCAGGGTGTAGAGGAGTCGCGGGTACCAGTGGATGTGGATGGTATCCCTGTCGTCCACGCTGTTACCTAGGGCCTCCTCCCGCCACCTCACGTTGTACCTGCTCCCATTGAAGAAACGTTTATCATTATATACTTTAACAGGTTTACTTGGAAAAGATGGGGTGATGGCCCCTAATGCACGAAGCAGAGCTAGGACAGCCTCCTTTAGGTTGCTGTACAGCCTGACTGGGAGGAAAGCCCAGTGAGCTATTGCCTGGGAGTCTATAACGGCATAGCACGAGGCTACAAATCCGTCCACGACTACTGTTCCCTCAGCAGTAAGAGGGGCAAAGACTCCTTCTCCAAGTTCGTGTCGAATTGCCACTACCTTCTCGAGCCGCACACCCTTCTGGCCAGTGACAAGCAAGAAATCTCCAGCTTCCACCCTTCCCGCTAGTACGACTCCGCCGAGCTCCAATGCATCGGCTACAGTGGGCGTGAGCGAGGGCACGAGGCGACGTTGTAACAGGAAGATAAGGTGAGAGGGCGTGAGTGTGAGAGCAGCGCCACTGCTCGTAGTCAGCTGCAGGAAGGAGCGGGATACTCCAAGATCACGGTGCAGGAACATAAGGACAGGACTGAAGACCAGAGAGCCGTCGGCACGCATCACTTGAACCTCGTCGCCCTCACGGATGTCTGACACCGGCACTAGTCCTGACGGTGTCATCACCGTGCCCCTCCCAGGAAAACAACCACCCAGCTTGCTGGCCGCCGACGACT